CTTAGGCTCTTTGTAGATATACTCTTTGCCCTCCTCCTCCTCGAAGAATCCCTAGGGGAGATACACAGCGAGCCACCTGCTTTATTAGAGAACTCCAGTGACAAATCACAGCAAGACAAAAGCCATATACTTAAAAAAAAAAAAAAGGTTCGGTTTTTCAGGTGTCTGAAGCTATTAATTAGAAGCCTATGAAGTTAAAACCAGAAAAGGAGAGGTAAAGAAAATAGAACACCGTGTCATGAACAGATAATAACACAGACACTTTGTCCCCAGTGAGACAAAGGAATGTCAACACAGATCCTATACATATTTCCTCTACTTGTAGAAATCAGGAAGTATTTGCTTGCATATAAATTGGAGGAAGAATGCCCTCTTGTGGTCCTCTTAAGTAGAACACAAAATTTTAAGTAATGTCTGGCAATTTCTTTAGCACATTCATTATCATTTTAAGTGAAGTCTTCTATGAATCTTTAAAAACATCATAGGCGACACCACATGGCACGCAAGGTATCTAAGCGTGTTCCCACTTCATCTGGGGCGAAGACCCGTGACACTTTATTGTTATCGTGACAGAAATTGCCCACGATGAGCTCCAGTGACAGCTATTTAAAAAGTCCACATTACTTTGTCTTCAAAGACTTTAAGGTACAAGCTAGCCATATGTAACTTAATCACCAATCACCCAGTTTTTAAATTCTTGAAAGGCTGGACGTTGCAGGACTAAAAATAACACCCATGCCATGATTTTTATTCCATCAGATCCCAGTGGGTTTTAGCCTTCATAAATTTGTCTGGTTTGAAGCCAGGGAAAAAGAAGATCCTATTATCTGTAGATAACTAAGTGAGAAATGCCTTATAATTCATTCTCTTTGAAGAGACAGGAGCATGTCTCCTCCTGACCCTGTGGAATGGGTGTGGGCTCAGAATACCAGATGAGCTCAGAGCAAGGAACCTACATTTTCTGTTTCTTCTGATTGCAGAGTTTGCCTACAAAGGAATAGATTTGGAAGTTTGTAAAACTACTGAGTCCAAAAAGAAATAACACTATTTTTTCTTTAAAAAAAACAAACTTGTTTTTGAGGGATGGGGGAGATGGCTCAGTGGTTATGCAGTTGGCAGCATGTGTGAAGACTGGGATTTCAATGCTTAGAACTTGGACTTGGAACTGCCTTCCTAGAATTCTAGCCCCAGAAAATGGAGGCAGAGAGGCCTCCGAGTAAGCTGGTTAAAGAAGCTAGCCAAGTCAGTGGTCTCTGAAGTTGACTGAGAGACTCTGCCCCATTGAATAAGGTGATCAAGCCTGAGTCTCTCTCCAGCCTCTACATGCATGAGCACTCATGTGCACATAGACCCCCGACACATGTGTGCACATACACGTGCAAACATGCAGCCATATACTTCTGCATGACAAATCCATACATATGCACGGCACACACACACAAATGAAAGGAAGGGAAAATATTTTTGACTAAAATGTTCATTCCTTGTGAAAGATTTTGGACAAATGTCCTAATGCTGCCTATCTTTCATGGATGGTAAGAGGTGACCTAAAATGATTAAGCTCACAGCTGTCTGGTGTTGAACACTTGCACAACCCTTGTTCTCAGGTAAGTGTGAGCATCAACAGTTCATTATGCATCTCAGAAGGCTGTGGGCTTGCAGAAGCTCTCTTCCTGTCAATCAGGCACTGCCTAACTGCGTGTCCATCTTCCTAATGGTGTTTTCAGCACATGAAGCAATGCATGTCCAGCTTCTGACACACTGTCTGGCCTTTAGGAATGGGGGTCACCGTATCTGTCCAGTGAATAAATAGATGAATAAAATTGTTTTTGGAAGACGTATGTCTCACAAAGGTATAAATATATTTGGTGAGTGTCCCCTGGCTCTTTATATGAAAAAGCTAATCTTGAATAATCCTTTTGATAAATGTGCAAACGCAAGGAGCTGATTTTGAATACCTCTGCTCCCCCTGCTGCTCCTGAACTTCTAGAAGGGGGGGGGGCTATGATGCAGAGAGCACAGAAAGCTGAAAAGCTGTTCCCAGCCACTCCCCTAGATTCCACAGGGGTGAGAGAGGTCTGGTTCTCTCCCCATTGAACGCCTGCCTGCTTTGCTTCTTCCACGGCTGACTGTGGGCTTTTGCCAGACTCAAGGTCAGGAGTCAGTAGCGAAAACTGACAGTGTGAGACATCAGAGGACTAAGACCTGGGAAGCCAAATACCAGAATTCCCGAAGGGCCTCAGCCAAAGCAACATTTACAACTTCAACTGACCGCAACAGGGGGAAGAAATGCCTTCCAGTTTCATGAACAGACTCCACCCCCCGTAGCATAGGAGCTAGTGCGGCGAGATACCCTCACTGTGGATTTCCCTCCTGATAAATTTCTGCATCCGGGGTCAGCAGGAAGTAGACAGAAGCAGACCTTTGTTGTGGCTATTGTGACTTTGCAACCTTGGTGGTAACCTATGATTTTCTTTTGTGCCTACTCCTTGGTCTGTAGGATGGCGAGCACACATTCGGCCATGCGTTAGGAGCACCCAGGTGCAGGGTCTGACCCACAAAGACGTTTCGTGAGTATGAGTTACGACAATGGCGATGACAACCAAGGAAGACTTCACGGCCACGGGACAGCTTGAGTTCTGGCTTCTATGCAAAGCTTGCAGCAGTCCATTGCTTAAGAAAACAATCCCCAGCATCTCTTGCATCAGAGCTGTCAATTTTCCTTCTTCCAGCATGTCTACTGATGGTCCTCGCCACATTTGGGCCATTGATTTGGTAGGAAAGAAATAATCCTCAGACCTTTTCTTCCCCCTGAAGTTTACTTTCTGTGTTTGCTGCTTTATGTGTGATGAGTGATGATCATGTATGTACCATCTTCCTCATCCCAGACCCCCACCCACCCTTCGTGTGTGTGTATATATGTGCGTACGCGTGCACACACACACACACACACACACACACACACACACACGTGGTGTGATGTGGTGTATCATTCCCAATAGTTTTGAGAAAGTGTAAGAAGTAGGGAGTAGCAGAATTCATGTGCTGTTTGTCAGGGTTTAAGAAAGGCACCTTTCCAGCCAGACCAGTGGCACTGTGGAAGTGTTTGGAATGGATGCTTACCTTTTGACAAGGAAACCACTGAAGAGGGCAGAGGCCACTGAGCTGCAAGGCATGATCTGAGGGAAAGCTTCGCTCTCAGACTTGCCCACCAAGTCAACAATTTAAGACTGGGGTGTGTGTGTGTGCAATGCAAAACAAGCAGCAGCTCCCCACTTTGCTTTAGGGTCCAGGTTGTGGATTGACTGCATTTCCAGGCAGTGGACAATGGGGCCTGCATGTGGCTACAGCTGGTTTAATTTTTTCCCCCAAAGTTATTCTATAATGCAGTATATGCCTTAATGTGTTGTCATTCTGAAGAAGCACATTCTACTTAAGTAAGTAATTCGGGTCAGTGGAGTTAGCACACGTAGACTGTGAAACCTCAAGGCACTAAATACGGCTAAAACCCCACTTTAATAAACTAACAAATAAAATTATTGATTCTTTTGTAGATTTTTTTTTACAAAGTTCTTCAGAATATTGAAGTGCCCTTGGATGAGAACCAGGATGTCAAATGTAAGTGTCCCTGCTTTGATGTTAGAAAGGTCCAACGTTCACAAATAAAACAATTCAGAACAAGAAGATTTGGTTAGCAGCAGGCGAAATGCTTTCAGAAGAGAAAACACAAGAATGCAGGAAAATTGTTCCTGGTAAGAACGAGTGCATTAATTATGTTTAGATAGACAGACAAACAGATAGATAGATAGATAGATAGATAGATAGATAGATAGATAGATAGACAGACAGACAGACAGATAGATAGATAGATAGCAAGCAAAGATCAGTTACTTTCACATAGACAAAGACCTGGAAGAGTCTATTGCATCTCAAAATGGAGATGTTACTTTGTTTCCAACTACACTTGTATGTTCCCCACGCCCTCCAAGCTCTTTCCCAGCCAGATTCTGAACTACATCTACTCCGAAGGACGCATGATCCACTAATACACTGAGTAACATCCTCCACCCCAAGTTTTCTAGCTAAGTAATTCCAGGGCTCTCTGATATTTGAAGCTATGCAAGGAACATTTGCTGGCTTGTTTTCTTACTAAAGGCTAGGGCCTAAGGGTTTCATTGATTACAGGCAGTGTTTGATTGCTACTGCTGTTTCCTTACTCTGGCAGCAAATCCTTGAGGGAAGTTGGAGAGCTACTTTTTGCGGGCTGTTATATCCATAGCCAAGGATACCAGCTGCTGTGTGAGAAACTCCATGCTATGAACGACTCGCATTTTTTTTTTAAAGTCCCTGCTGTGAAGGAAGGGTTTTCAACTTGCTTGTTAATGTCTGCCTCATTGCAGACATGGTTACTATTAAATAGCCTAGTCGACACAATAAGATGGACACACCAGTCCACACAGTGCACCGATGTGCTCAGAGGACTTTGTAGAGGCAAAGAGCCTATGCTGTGTTATAGTCCCACAATCGCTTGAGCACGATTGCAAGATGCATCTGGGTGTATGTTAAAAGGTGTGTTTTAGAGGAATATAAAGTGCCATCTTGAATAAGAAGTTGCTTTTTTGGAGTACAGGGATTATGTTAATCACTGGAGAGTTCATCTCTGAGTTCTGGAACCTTCATTCTGCACAGATTCAGGAGGATGCGCAATCCTGCTTTGGTTTGCTTATCAAGGCGAAGGGATGGGAGCTGTCTACTTCTGCTGAATACCACAGTTCACAACTGCCATTGGGTGCCCTGGCGTGTGCATTTGAATATCATTTGCATAGCGATCATTAGAGCTCTGATCTGTTCCTTGTCAGGGTGAACTCACTCCACAGGTGCTCTTTGTCCAAAGGCAGCTGATGGTGGCCCTTGGGGAGGATCATGCTTAGGTAAGGTTATCAGCTCTGCATATAAAAAGATATTTTTATTTCTAAGCTCTGATTGGATTTATTTTTCTTAACCAAAGGCAATTGATAGTCCTGCCCGTAACAAAAAAAGTAGCTATACCATTAGCATATTTTTTTTAAGAAATCTGAAAAAAGAACAAAGTTAGGTCACTTGAAAGTAACATCCCCGAATGGCCCTCTCAGTCCATTTAGTATATGGTTCTCAAGGATTCTTCTAGTAGGTGAGTTAAGGACTCATGAACCCAGGTTTACAGATGATGGTGTAAGAGACCCACATGGCAAGGAGGTGGGAAGGAGTCTAAAAAATTACAGAAAAGTCTGCATTGTTCATGTGAGAAGAGCTAAACAGTGACAGAACATGGAAAGACTTTTTTCTCTACCTTAATGGATAATAATTATATCAAGCCACATAAAGATGTCGATTTTGTAGATAAAAATAATGGCTAAAGATAGGCAATTTCAAAGACAATCCTTGTACTGAGAGTTCTTGATACTGGTAGATAATTTCTGGTCTGATTATGTTATAGGTCTTTCTATCCCTCTTTCTGAATCTCTAAAAATGTTGCGTGTTGGGTGAAGGTTTGTTCTCTTTAATTCTTTGTGTTCAGAATCACCGTCACCTCTGAAGGACCAATGTCTGCTAATATAGAACCCTATTTCTCAAAAGGATTCCTTGCAAAAGACTCTGGGAAGGACTCTCATCCTGAAAACAGTCACTATTTCAACTTCTCACCACCTTCAGCTCCATAATGACTCTCAACCTAAGGGCTGTGACCCATTTGGGGTTGCACATCAGATACTCTGCGTATCAGATATTTACATTACAATTCATAATAGTAGCAAATTTACAGCTAGGAAGTAGCAATGGAAACAACTTTATGGTTGGGGGGGTCACAACATGAGGAGCTTTATTAAAGGGTCGCAACACTAGGAAGGTTGAGAGCCACTGCCGAAGCATTTGATTCATGATAGCAAGTGATCTCCAATTAAATGTATTCTGAATCTATTTAAAACATGTGTTATCCATATCTACCTTGTGCATTTGTGTGTGTGTGTGAAGCTTCTAGATTACACCCTCTACTTTTGTGGAGAAAGACAATGTGTGCAAAAAAAAAAAGATACTTTTTTTTTTTGTAATTCAGGCATCTGGAATAAACAGAATTTAGTTCAAGAAATGCAAGATGGCTCCAAAAAGAATCAAAACAGCCATCTCACTCTTTGTACCAAATGTTGATCTGTACAAAAATGTTAAGGTTCAGTAGAATTGTAAGGAGGGAAGGGTGAGGATTATTAGTGCATGCAATGGGACACCGAGAGGAATGAACTTACCACAGCCTGGAACAACCAAGACCAAAGGAAGAAAAGAGCAAACATCTGCATTAAAAACTAGTTGGCCAGCAGCAAGATCTGTTCCACTTTTTCCCCAGCTCGTGTCTCACACATGGGTTTGCATGGTCAGGGCATTAACGGGAACCTTATTACTTTTTCGCTGGCAAATCATCGAAGGTTTGGATTATATCCTGGTTAGCAAAACACCCCTTACATGGCATCGTTCTGCTGCTCAGTTAGCCTGTATTTTTCCTCCAGTCATCCAACCCCCATATCCCCTGCTTGGTGGGATTTTCTATTATTTTTCTTGCTAATGCTCTGCCAATGCCATACAGTGTATATTTTTTGCAACATACCATTGCCTCTCATCTGAAAGTCCTGCACACGCCTCTCTCCCTCAGCAGATACCCACACTGCAGCTAGTTCAGATTATTTTTTAATCCCCCTCCACATGCCTATAATTAGCATTTCTCTATGAACTGCTCTTATATCTGTCTCTACCGTGATGTTCTTGGGAACTAAGAAGAATCCGCGTGGGATGGGGTGGACTACAGAGGTAACTCCTCATGGGTCCTTTTCGGAGAGACAGAATCAGAAGTTAGCTTTAAAGGTACCTTTAGTGATCAGAGAAAAATCTGTTTTTCTAAAGTCTTCAGTGGATAAATTATCTATATGAACAATACTGGACTAGACAGTATCTGCAGCCTTAACAGAGTCCAAGGAGAACGAGAGGCTGTGTCTAATTGTGCCTCACAAGAGGGAGAGGAAAGAAAGTTCTGAGAGCTGCTGTGAGCATAAACTAGGCTGGCGTATCTGTCTCCAAGAGTCAGAAGGACATTTGCTGAGCTAGAAGGACGGCACAGCCTTTCTGAACAGGAATCATTGAATTCCTGGGTTTATACCATTTAAAGCATCACTACAAAGAGATATTCAGAATTAGTGTGAAACACATCCCTTCAGACCAATGCTATGGCTAGCTAATATCTCCAGCCTTGCTCATTGCTAATTCAGTACCTTGAGAAAGATAACTTTACAACCACATTGGCCCATGACAGAGGAAACAACCAGGCCCTGGGATGCTCTGCTTTGAAATAGTGGTGATTTGAAAACAAGAGAGACAACTCACAGGATCGTAAAGCCAGTGGTTGGGAATGGTGGGCAATTTAGGGTGTTATTTCTTAAAACATGCCTGATTCGATTTCACTTTAATCAATCACACAGCCCTGTTAGATACATCAGGGTAAAATGCAAAGGAGAGGACGGTGAAAAAGAAGCCTCCTCTACTTCCAAAGGCTAGGAATGACTTTTTTTTTTAAACATAACTTTTATAAGTTTCGTCGATTTTTCTACACGTTTGTGCTTAATACATTCCTATGGGCAAACTGATAGTCACATTCATAGAAATACTCATGGAAGTTCAAACACACCCCTCCCCTGGTCCACTGGTATATGTAGTCAGATGTCTTATAAAGAACGGAAGATGGCAACCTGAGCAGAATGTTCAGGCCCTGTTACTTCCGGAGGACTTACCTGCCCATAGAACGCCACTCTGTAGTAGCGACCAAACAGGCGCTTCTCGGAATTCACCACCTCTGCCACTTTCAGGTAGGACCGGTGAATGTCATAATAGAGATCTGATAATTTCTGAAACCATAAACCAGAGGGTTATGTGAGGACAATGCCGACATAAAAAGAGAACGCTGCAGGCCAATGGATGGAGCTAGAAAACATCATATTGAGTGAGGTGACCCAGATTCACAAAGACAATTATCATATGTACTCACTCACAAGTGGTTTTTAAACATAAAGCAAAGAAAACCAGCCTACAAATCACAATCCCAGCGAACCTAGACAATGAGGCCCCCAAGAGACACATACAGGGATCTAATCTACATGGGAAGTAGAAGACAAGATCTCCTGAGTAAATTGGGAGCATGGCGACCATGGGAGAGGAGCGAGGGAGCAGAGAAAAATGTATAGCTCAATAAAATAAAAAAAGAAACCAGAGAGAGAGAGAGAGAGAGAGAGAGAGAGAGAGAGAGA